CCCCTTCCAGAGTATCTCTCCCCTCAGCACAACTGAATCTCAGCTCCTTGAGAGGATAACTTACCACCCCTGCAATTTATGATCCAAAGCAGTGAAAGTGCTATACTACATAGATACTATAAGGTGAGGAGAAAAGGCAGATTTTGTTGTAGTTCTGATTGAAAGAAGTAGAGCAGGGTTGCCTTGCTGAGAACCATTTTGAGAGGGGGAAAAAATCTGAAGCTTTGGAAAGCAAAGCACTTTTTTCCTACAGTGCTCTCCAATGCTGCTTCTTTAGAAACAGAAAGATGGTGGGACTGTATCAGTGACCATGATCTGCTACTGATGAACAACAGCGTATGGTCAGATCCTGAATTCTTTACCCACCAGAAACTGCAGAGAACATAATAGGATATTTGGAAAAGGAAACAAAAACAAGGCTATTGAATTCTGTCTGTGAATACATTTATATATCTTTTTAGAAAGTTCTCCTTTAAAATTTCTTTATGTAGAAGATTCTAATTGAAACCAAACAAGTCAATTAAACCAAAAATAGTAACAAGTGTTAGATTTCAGGGTACAACACTTAGGAAGTGTGGGAGTAATGCTGAGGGCAGAGCCAGAAGACTTTAAAACCCACTGGACTGCTGCAAAAGCTAAGGGTACAACTGAGGAAATAGTAAAACCTGTTCCAACATTTGATAGCACTGGCTGAGGTGTGACACCCTGTAGGAGAGAGATCTCATGTTTAAAGTAGAGCCACTTTGCTGCAAAAGATTTTATTTTCAAATCTGTTTTAAAGTAAACATTTGATACAACTGTCAATTTAGACGTGGAGCTTAATCAGTAAAGTAACTCTATAAAGATTTGCAAAAGGAGAAACCACTCCAAAGATTTAATTCGTTTTTTCAGTGACCTTAGTTTGGGATGTAACTTCCTTGTGCCTGCCGAATCAAATAACCAGAGTGGTAAATTAACACTTAAGAGATAAAGGGCTTGGAAATCAAGTGACAGAAGCCAGGAAGCCCAAGTGTAAAAGAAAGGTGATGAAGAAACAAACTAAAATGTACAATCGTAAGATTAAAAGTACAGAATGTTCTGTAATCAATGGCTTGCTGTAGGAACACCTTTGGGACTGAGTCAGGTTCAGATTTGCAGCATGCCAGCCTACTGAACTGTTTTAGTCTCTTGCAGGTGGTTCCCTACTAATGTATTCTTTATACACATCAGGGCTTCCAACTGATGCACCAAGTCTGACGCATCTAAGGGAAAAATTGGTCTTCAATCAGTATTCAGATCATTTAATGTTTAAAGGGAGAATTGCTTAAAGGATTCTAGGGCTAGATCTTTAGCAGGCTTGCTGCTAGTGTTTGGACATGCCTAGCCCTAGTCATGACATTTTCATGTTCTGTATATGGATGGCTGAGGAGAGGATGGAGACTGGGAAAAAGGAACTCCCACCGATGTGATCCTCACTTGTAAGGGTGAGAGGCAGAATGCAAGGCCAGAGATGATGTTCTGCAGATGCAGTTTTGGTGGGGAAGAGATCTGTCTCCTGAATCAGCAGTGAGCTCTGTAGATATGGAGCTGAAGCAGGAGAAAGAGAAAAATAAATAGGTGACCTTAAGAAGGAAGAAGCAGGGAAACTGAAAGGACTTTCAAACAGTTAAGTGGACATGTATCTTCCGGAAATAGAAACACATCGTGCAGCTTTCTAACATGCTTTGGTGTAGAAAACACTCAAGGATTTTTAAAATCTTTACTAAGGAAAATGTTGCCTTGTCTTTTGTTTTATAACTACAGGATGGGAACAATGCAAGTAACATAAGCTTTCCCCCTCCACAATACACCTCATCATGATAGCTTAAATATCACTTCTACTGTCTCCTTTTTTCCAATTACCTGACCAAATTTTTGCTCCAAGGCAGATGTACTTGAAAGAACCAAGTGAGATGCACATCTAGTGGTATAGTACTTCTCGCCACAAGGGATGTCATAAATACGTTAGAACAAATTACAAATGTGTCATACTTTACGACAAAAGAAAAAAAAAAATATTTTTAAAGAGCAGAACAAATCTCAAGCAGCCAAGTGGTGAAGTTGCAGTGATGTACAGTAGGTGATGTAGCCCTACAACCTCTTGGGTAGATACACTGAAAGGAGACTTCTGCAAAATGCATCTTGGCAAAGTATGGGTACAGAATGCAGTGGTTGGCTGGCACTCACTATGGTACATAAACGTTAATGGCAGACTGGGAGTGACTGGTTTCAAGTTTGAGGCCACACATGTTCCATTCTCCAGAAGAAAGTTCCCACACAAAATGAAAAATGTCAAAGATGTTGGACGGGTCAGTACTCTTCCTGCTGTGGGGGCTGTTCATGAACCTGCTCTTCACCTTCATGCTCTTCTGTGTGGCTCTCCTGCAAGTTAAAAAAAAAACCAACCTGCTTTAATGTATTAATGTGGCACTTAGCTGGGTTATAGTTTGGTACTAATTTTCATTCAAGTATGAAGACAACAGGTAGCTTTCATTTCAAGCCTGCCAAGGCAATACATCCTTTCTTGGACATGCTAGCACTAGCCTTTCCTTTCATCTCTGTCCAACTGAGACAATAAGTCCTTTCATGAAACCACTGTGTTTGATTTGCTGAGCTATTTCACAAGTACGTCTAATACTGTAGAATGAAATCTTGGACACTGCAGGGGCATTACAAGATGTGCTGCCACTAGTTGTCCCTGTGGAACCAAATGTCCACACACATCTGGATGTGGCCTACACGTACTTGTTTTAGGAGAAATTTGGGCCAGACGCAGATGTTCCATTTGTGCTGGGAGAAGCCCTGGGGCAATCCTGTACAGGAAAATTAACCCCTCTCCTGCCAATCAGCCTCCTGATGGTGTGTGAATCCTTTTGCAGTGAAGGGGGTTCACCCCATGAAGGAATGCCCCTGCTGCACCCCCCATTGCTGTGGGTTGACCCAGAGAAGTGTGGGGTGAGGCAGGCTGCTCTAGGTCGGCCCAGAATAGTGCAAGGAGCAGTAACTATTCTCCCGCAGTGGGAACCAAGGGCATTCTCTTGGGGCTTTTGGAGACATCTGTGGCAGTTGCTGCTTTTCAATAGCTGCCAACTGCCAGGAAGGGGAGAGGGTAGGCAGCCAATTAATGAGTGGGCCAGGGAGCAGCTCTGTCATGCCTCCTGGCTGAAGAGCTGGCAATGAAGCTTTTTAGCCAAGGGTCTGGA